CCTGAATTTATTTATAAAGAGCGATACCTCCTCTCAAGCTTTTATTTGCCTAGACTAAACCAAACTCCTTTGTTCTCTCCACCTAAAGACAGATATTCCATTCCCTCATTCGTCCCAGAAGCCTTTCTGAGAACTGCATCTGTTCTAAATTAAGTTTGTCTTTCTTGAGCACAGATGACCAGAACATACACAGTATTCCAAATGAAGATTTAGCAGCATTTTATAAAACAATACAAACATTTTCCCCTCTCTACTAAAGATATCTTTTCTAATATTGCCTAGAGCAGTATTAAGCTTTTTCCTAGCTGTATGAAATGAATGAATACTGGTACCTTACAGTCACCTTTTGATTCACATTCAATTATGTTCCCCACATAATTGTTATTCTGTACCAATCCATAGCTCTACATAAGATTTCACACACCACCTTACAACATCCTTCTGCTGAACTGCACGATTACGAGCCGAGAGAGACCTCTTAGTAGTGTCTGAACTCCTGAATTTCAGAGACGACTCTGAAACAACTCTAATGTGCTGACCCCTGGTCTGTGCACTGAACATCTTGACAACAGTTTACCAAGCCTTTAGAGTACCGATATACCCACAGGTAAAAAATGAAACAGAAAAAAGACATTTGATGACAATGTTTGCTTTAAGTCACTTTGCGATTGTACCTAGCAAAATAATCTTTATCGTTAACTATTTTTAAAAGATTAATATTTCTTATTATTTTCAGGTGAGACTGACACATTGCGTTTCAAAAGGTCTTTGTGTTTTATCTGCAAGGTTAAAATGTAAGTAGTTTATGGAGTTAGGAATCCATGAGCTTGCTTGGTTTTTAACTCCTGCTTGTTTCCTCAGAAACAGGAATATCATATATTTCTGATATATCATAATTTCATATTCAGAAATTGAACAAATTATAAAATATTTTAAAAAGAAAAGTAGATCCATTAAAGAGCAGCACAACAGCTGCTATAAAGACAGCTATCCATGCTTCATCTCTTAGCTATCCTTTTCCTTTCTATTTACCGACTTGCTGGGGGCAGGGTTTCTTTTGCTAGACAAAGCAGCAGGCAATTCTGCTTAGCTCTTCTTGTTCACTTAAAGCCTTAGGAAGAAGTTCCATTCATTAGTATCTAATTTGCAAGATCTTTGTATGAAACAGAAAGGCAAAGTATCAACTTAGTTGAAAAGCTATTTTCCCCCTAATACAGTACCCACATGTTCCGATACTTTTGTTCACCACCTTTTCTGTATGCCTGTCAATCCCTTCACCTACCCAGGACAGGATTTCTGGCCCCTGTTTCACCAAGACAGTTTTCGCCTTTGTTACGGAACCAAACCTCTCTTCAGTACGAAAGGTGGGGAAAACTGATACATGCTTCTTACATGACTGTTTCGGGAAGAAATCTGTGGCTGTCTCAATGTTGTTCTCAAACAATTTCACCACTGACTGCAAAAAGCATTACTTGTAAGAGCACAAGGTTAGTTTTAGCTTTCTTTATTGCATATATAACCCTCTTTGACAGCGTTTTTCTGTTTGTTAACAGTCATAGAAATTGCTTCTGCTAGGCTTGTCTGTTACATATGTTACCAACTACTGCTTTGTGTTTACTTTTTGTTTTCTGAGTATAATTACAATCCCAGCCACCACAGAGCCTGCGAGTGTTTCTACAGACTGAGTTTATACCATCTGTAACATAAAAAATATTAAATCAAACTGGTTTTACCTCTCTATAATGAAAAAGATAATTCATTTCAGCTTTTACATCTAGAAGGGTTTTTTTAATCGCTTCAGTGCAAACTCTTATACATTCTAATGGCTTGTACTTTTTATTATCAAATTCATATTAACTTCATTTATGCCCATCTCATTTATACAACAACTCCAAAATTTATGCAGAAAATACAGAAACCTTCCCTCAAGGCTTCTTAGCTGGCACCCTAGGTGAAAGTCTCAGCATTATATATATGATGTTTATCAGAGACAGGAGCCTAGGGATGGTGCTCGAAGCTGTAGCTCATGTCTTCTTCATGCATTTCCCTCACTACACTATTTGTGTCTCCCCACTGCACTCCTACCCTGCGCTTTTGGCGGCAGAATTTTCTTATCTTTGCCACTCTAATTCAATTTAATTTCTCTGTATTCTTTCTTTTGAATTTTCCCTATGATTTTTTTTCCTTTTACTTTCCAACCTCTTGACCAGTCAAAATCTTATGCTTAATCTTCTTAATCCTTTTTTCCTCATCATTTGAGCTCCTCTCTCTTTTGGGCTTAATAACTTGCCATTGTATATTGTGGCATTGACTCCCGATGTGTGTATTCAAATTAAGATGCATATGAAGACGAGACTGTATTACACTAAATTCAGTTTTTCCCATATTCCAACATTTTGTCCTGGTTTTGGCTGGGACATTGCTGCGTTTTGGATTCAGTGTGAGAACAGTGTTGGTAATACACTGCTGTTCTGGTTGCTGCTGAGCAGCACTCACCCTAAGTCAAGGACTTCTCAGCTTCTCATGCCCTGCCAGTAAGAGGGCTGGGGAGGCACAAGGAGCTGGGAGGGGACATAGCCAGGACAGCTGACCCCAGCTGGCCAACGGGATATCCCAGACTATATGATGTCATGCCCAGTACACAAATGGGGGAAAGCTGGCCAGGGATTACTGCTCAGGCATCGGTCAGTGAATGGTGAGCAACTGCATTGTGCATCACTTGTTTTGTATATTCCAATTCTTTTATTATTATTATTACCAGTATTATTATTTTCTTCCTTTTCTGTCCTATTAAACTGTCTTTGACTCAACCCACGAGTTTTACTCTTTTTTTCCCCAATTCTCTCCCCATCCCACTGTGGGGGGCAGTGAATGAGCTGTTGTGTGGGGCTTAGCTGCCAGCTGGGTTAAACCACGACACAGTCTTACAATGTTATTTATCTTTTTCTACTCCCCTCCAATAATTTTTAATTTTATTTTGCATTTCCATTCCTAATTGCTTAGGTCACTAGTCCTAACCCTAGTTTCTTGTTTACTAGTGTCAAACCTACTGAACTGCACCTCCACTGGGAATATTAGCGAGCTGATTTCTGAGATTTGATGTCGAGCCATGACTTAGTAATACAGGCTGGCTGCTTCATGCTTTGCTTCTCTATGGAGTGTCTATTGTCTCTACAGCCCTTGTGTGCTCTTCTGATTTATGACCTCATAGTAACTCTCTCTAGGGACAAATACTTTTTAAGATGATGCCTTTACGTAGGCATTAATTCCCAAACCAAGAGAAATCATCTTAGGAATTGAAAGGCCCAGGAAGAGATGAAGTGTACAGATGGTGCCACATCACTTTATGGAGCACGTTGAGAATCCATTTTCTTCTGTGACCTTCAGCAATCTCAAGTTGTTAAAAACAAAGATATAAAATGGAATCTGTCGTGGTAGGGACCGACACCGACAAAAATATATGTAAAAAAAGAAGGCAGCTTTTATTAAGTTACAAAAGGCCAAGACGGCCGAGAGAGCGCAGCAGAAAAAAACATACCCTTTTATAACCTTTCTTATCTGTCCACCAGTTCATGCACTAAGGCTGCTAAAATGATCCGCTCAGTACCTCTGTCCATTCACCTCTATTCACATACTGATTGGCTGGAGCTCCTACTGTATTTCCCACTTCATTCTCTTGTCAAATTTCTGCTCTGTGGTATTCACTTGTTTAGTCTCTTCTTGCTCAGTCTCTTATCACCTCCTCAAACCTGTTTACAACATTCTTCATCCACTTCTTTCATCTTCTCACGGGTATACTGGGATGCTGTTGAAGGCAATTCAATCTTCCTCAGTCAGGCTATCCCCGACAGCAATCCATTCACATATCAACTACCACTTACAAAAAAGCCCTCCTTCTTATCAAACAAGATTTTAAAAGAGCATGCAGTCTCACCTGCTGTCCTGGCAAGAATTTTGCATAAATCAACATGACATGGAGAATATCTTTATTTTTTAAGCATAAATGACAAAAATATCAAAGCATATATTATTAACTTAGCATAAAATGTCTAAAACCAAAGAGCATTCATTTTTTTATATAATCTATTTATTTAGATGACAAATTAAAAATTTTCTTTTCCACAAACATAGCAGCAAATAGCTTACTGCTGTTAGAGAAAATAAAATCTACTGTTATCCCAATAGTGAGAATGAAAAGAGGAACAAATGTCACAGAGAAAATGTCCACATAAGAAAAACAAATAATTTAACAAAAGCTATTCCAAGCTTCAAGGGAAACTGGATTGCAAATGTAGGATTCGGCAAATTTCAGTCCGAAATGCTATGTACATAAAAGATTTTCCCATCACAAACTCTTGTACTTTACAACGGGTGTAAAAGGGAGGTCATCTTCCTCCTATTCTTTATGAGGCTCATCTGTCTAAAAAATCCAATGTCGAACGAAGTCTGGTGTAGGGTTTTCTTCCAACAGTAAATTCCAAACCTACTGACAACATTTCTCTTTTTTCCAAAAATAGTACATCTGCAGATGCAGAAATAAGCTGCCAAAACAGAGAAGACCCAAAGCTAAACTTAGGAATTTGCCTACTACCACTGGAAATGGAATTGTTTCACAATTCAAAATAACCAAACTAAGATAGTGAATTCTTACTCAGTTTTCACTACATCTCCACTCTCATAAACAATAAAGCAATTTTAAGTTAAACTTACTTCCAACGAGAGTCTAAGTAAAGACAAGAATTGGCTCAGAAAGCCCTAACTGCAGAGAAAATCTGTTTTAGCAGAAAATATAATAAGCTCCCTGCAGTACTAAGTGACTTAGAAAAATGCTGGATGTGGTGCTGGTTTCACTTACACCAGCACAATTCAGAAAGAACTCAGCTGAAGTCAATAAAATTATTCTTATGAAAGATCAAAGTAAGATAATAAAGTAGCAAAACTGTGGAGACTATGGCAACATATCGATATTAATACTTATTTGCTTTATAATACATTGAACGTTATTCAACTTTCAGTCCTTTAGATTTGAACAGCACATGTAGGATCTGGGATACCCATCTCCCAAACTCCTCCATGATCATCTGCTCAGCTAGACAGACAGAGTAACCGCTTTTTTCTGCCTCTTCAGCTTGCACCAGGAGACAGGAACATATCCCTTTCACTTCTTCCCAAGACAGACATACAGCCAGTGGCCTGACAAGGGGAAAGAAACCAGTATGAAACAGCTCCATTTTAAATACACAAAATGATTTAAAAGACAAAGTGCAAAACTCAGGTAAGAGCTGGAATTCAGAGAGCTGAATCAGTTGCTGCACGGTTACTGTGAGCTACATCCTTGTAGGAGTTCCACTGTTGTACCCTGAATAGCTTCTACTTCTAACAGACCGCTGCGGAGATATTCTGATTTACCACATGGATGACTGTGTTCACACTGCATAATTAATCTATGCAAATGCTGCCCAACAGGTGCAGATAGAGAAAGGTTAAACGACAAGCCTCGTCCTCCATCTGTATGCGATAGTCAGATCCTGCCTCATATAAAAGGAAATGTCTTCAGAAGGCTTAGCCAGGGCCTAGGAGGTACTAGATGTTAAAGGAAACAGCACCAAGCCCCTCAGCAGCCTTAATTGGAATAAACTCTTGAAACTACTAGTCGTCGATGTCATAACTCATTCTACTATATTAATAACAAAACTTATCCCACGGTGCAATTCAAGCAAAGGCATGACCTGGCACCATCTGCTCACCCCATCAAAATACTACCAACAGCAGAAATTATTAAAATACTTTAAAAATGGATAGTCAGAAAGTATTTAAAAAATGGAATTAAGAATTTCAAGGTAATGCTTGATGCAAAGAAAATGAAGGATGCAAATTGAAAATTTTAGAGCCTGGAGTAAAGCTCCCTAAAATCACTTAAGAGGTGGTTTAACTAATTTTAATTGTTATTAACAAGTGTTTCTACTTATTAGGCAAATGACTATAAACCAACCAAAAAGACAGCTTAGGCTACAACTATGTTAGAAAGAATAAAGACACCAGGGTAGTTTGGCCATCTTAGAATATTTTGTAATCCCAATTGCCAACACAAACAAAATCGACAGGAGGTGGGCCAAAGGGAGAAGCGATGGGAAAGAAGAAGTGATATAAACATGCTTATAAACTGAACATCACAAACATATTAATAACATATTTTCTTAGTACTTATTTGTTCAAGATTTTGTTAGAAATGAATGCTTGAACATAGAACAATTTAAAAACAGAGAAACTGGAGGAAAAACATGAAGTAGCTAAAGGGGAAAAAAGTTGAGAGAATGAAATACGTGATCAATACAAAAATGACTGCGGTTTTGTAAGCAGAACTAATACATATACCCCTGAACTCTGTATCCTATATTCTTAAAGGCTAGTCATAGCCTCTCCTTTAGATATTTTGTTATTTATGGAATCAAGATGGCAAATGCTCTGTGAAGTGATTCCTTGTATATAAGCCACCTGTCATTTTGGTCATAATTTCTTACACAATTATGATAATGGTTATATGAAAAATTAATGAAGTCAGACTAATGGACTATGCACTGCTATTTCCAAATATTCACCTGTCTGTCCTCAGTTTTGGTACTACTTTGAACGCTGATGTTAAAACTCTGCTTTTTCCTTCATTATTCCCAATGTCCATGTAGCTTAGCACGTTCAACTGGTTTTTTTCATCTGGACTTTCTTCATGATTTTTGCAACCAATGCATTTGCAAATAGAGGAACACACAGTTGTAGCCTGGAAAATATAGAATACTTAGAATAAAAATTGTCTAAGTCTTAAATTAAACATATCTGAGCAACCATTGGAGCTATACCACCAAGGACTTATTCTAGATGTGCTGGTCTTGGATACTCCAAGAGCAAGCCTATTGGTATCAACACACAAGGCAGGTTTCTATCCATGGATTCTCTGTGGAGATTGATGTTCTATACATGAATGAATCACTCCTCTCAATTTGCGGATAACTTTGCAAGACAACAAAGTACCACAGATGTAAAGAAACTACCATGATTAGCAGAAAACCATTCTCATTTCTTCTGGAGCAAGGTATTGGCTAAGAACTCCTGATGCCGAAAATTTTACCTGATCAACTGACATGACAAGAAAGAGACTGTGCCTCCTATGTTCAAAAGGTTTTATGATTAAAAATGCAAAGAACAGTGATTATTTTTAGTAACTACTAGTTACAGAATATAGCAAATGTTAAGGTAGTAAGTGATGAGAGGAAAGTTCACCTGACTCCCCTCAAAGCACTCACAATAATTCTTGAGGCATCCTGAGCGCTTGCAGTTACATACTTTGTTATGGTGAGGTTTAATTTCTCCTAGTTTCCTTTTCCCACTCTTTGGTAAGAAAGCCTCTGGATTTCTATCATGACAGGTCTAAAACAAAAATTGCTAGATTATGAGAAACTCTAAGAAATGTTTTTAAACACCTGAATGACTGCGATCCAATGTTTAACAAAAAAGTTCTTACTTTCCAGTCTTGTTATTTGCGGTAGGCCCACAGATAAAGGAGTCTTCCAGGGCATGTAACAGCAAGAATCCAAAAACCCCAGAACACTAAGCTGACTTGGCTCTGCCACAGGAAGCAGCTTACCTTGTTTTTATGGAATAACCTAAATGACCCACCTACTATTCTCTTGGGGATGGTTTTCTTTCACTGCTGACGCTACCTTCACCAGAAACAAGAAGTTCTCAGTGAAGAAAGAACCATTGCATATGTAGTTACATACCTCTCAGAAGTTTTAAACGTAGCTTGTTTTATTAATGGCCCAGCACACAGACCGTTCACTGAACTCAGCATTGGACTGGAACAGCAGGTTTTAATGAGGTCCTGAGACCTCACAATACCATGGACTACATAAGACAGGCTGAGGAGGTCACGTTCTCTTTACGTACAGTATTTATGGATAGCACAGGGATGCACAGTGACCAGTGAGATCTCTCATGTGCTACAAGATGCCCCCTTCAGCAGTCAAAGCAGGGCTTAGGCACCAGCAGCCTCCTCAGCTGAACAGGCAGCTGACTGGAAACCTAGTTGTTGCGTACTGACAGCACAAACTGCTATGGCTTTGACTGGCTGCATGTGGCAAAGCTCTCACTCTAATTGGATCAACGTCTTGTACAATCCCAAAATGATGTGACTGATGCAAAAGGAGTTCTGGAGACTTGCATACAAGAAGCACAAAGCCATTAATATACCCTTAAAGCGTCAGCAGTAGAGTAAGACTTTTCATTATCACTTTAAAATTGACAGAACGTAACATACATATTAGATTGAATTATTGTGCAGATTGTGCAGTTTGATATACACACAAAAAAATAGCCCAAATGTTATCCTTTATTCCACTCATAAAATCACCCTCCAAATGTAGAAGCAACCTGCTTCTCTCTAGTGCAGGATTCAGTGTCGCTGCCAGAAGAACAAACCTCGCACTGCTGCATGGGTCAACCAGAAAGACTAACGCAGCAGCTGCAGGAGATCTGTCAATGAGAATAATAATTTGGGTAGTAATAGTTTGTTTTCCTTTGTCTGACTGTGGGATACAATAAATTTTCCTTCAAGTGAAAACATTTTCTGGAATTAGATTCGGGTTTGAATACTGCTTTCCAAGAACAAAAATTATCATTCCGTTAACACATCACTAGTTTTAATCCAAAGCATCAGCAGTTCTACAAAAGGAAGAAAAGAAATCCCTAAATTGCTTTATGTAATAATAATAATACAGAAGCAACACTCAGCTTTATTTAGGGTAAAAATAACATACTTCAAATATTGTAACTAGTGGAAAAAACAATACTGCTATATTTTTCCCACATGAAGCTGATACCAGTGTGTACTGTACTTTTTTTTCCTTTTTTACCTTAATGGCTTTAAATCTCTCAGTTTCACGAAGTTGATTGTTGTAACAATTATTGCAGTTGCAGCTGTTGCAAAAATCACCACTGGCAAAGCAATCATAGTATCTATGATTAATATGTAAAATAACATGAAAGATGAAAAGATTAACTGAATTTTAAAATTTAAATTCTACTTCTAGGCAGAATGTTCAGTTTCTACTCATGAAAAAAATGGTCCTTCCTCTGTAATTTAATCACATCCAAAACTAGACAAAGCTTCTCTCTCTCTTTCAATTTTACATTTTGTAAAATCCACCCAGGCTACCAATGAATCAAACGTTAACTATCGTGCATACATCTCTGTGCCTATTATTTATGTACGAAGGCAGAAGCAAGGCAGTGAAATGATATTTTAGTACACAGCATTCACATTCTACAGAGGATTTTCAAGATATGCTCTGAACAATTCTTCTAGCTTCTCTTCCTATTTTTCAGACCTCGGATTATATGCAATCATCTACACCTCTGCATCAAACTCCAAGCTCGTGTGACACCAGATCACAGCAACTGTGGATCTTTCTAACTCAGTATCAGATGAGTAGTTTTTGGCACATTTGTGCTGTTCATTTTAAAGCACACATTTCCTGTATGTTTGTCCTTTCATCTACGCACTGTTACGAGCATTTACTAAATGTTGACAAAACATTACTTACAATTTAAGACACTGAGATTTTGTGCAGTTACACGGTTTCTTAGACTTTGTAACCCCTGAACCAAAAGGTAAGCTAGACATGTGGAAAAAGGAAAAAAAATAGAAAAAACATACAACTACAATAAAAACTAATTATTCTATAGTTTTGAAACAATAAATACTGATTTTACTTTTTTACACCACTATTGGTACTACTTAACAAGCGTGGCCTCACTAAGTGTGTCAGAAAAAGAGAGTTAAGCAATCTGTAATCTTCCTCTATCCACCAGCTGTCACTGCCTGGGACAGGTCTGCCCTCGTCATACAGCCTGGTAACGGCTGTGTGACGGCAAAGCTCTCTCACCTTTCACACCGGGGTTGCAGCTGCTCCTTATTTAAAAATGACCTGCAATTAAATGTTATTCAAAGAATTCCATTAGTGTTAGAAGTGCAGGCTAAACACGTGCTAAACATCACAACTCAGAAAATCAAATGTTTTTCAGGTAAATGACAGCACAATTGCACTGATCCTAAGAAAATCCGAAACCATGCTGCACAGGCTTGACCGCCAGCAACCGGTACCATGACAGCCCAGACACACACACGAAGCATCCTCACAGAACCATGGGTTTGTTACAAGAGAGAAGCAGCTATGCAACATGGAAATGTCTAGGAGTCATGGCCAGTTTAAAATTTAAAAGGCATCACAGATAAAAGATGTTTCAAGCATCTTACCCCTCCAAGGTCATTTTCACTGGCCCATGCAGGTTTGATTCTAGATGGAAGGGGGCAGTGCCAGCTAGCGTCTGTAAGGGTCCGTTTTCAAACTGCTTAAGATAAAATGAATCTATCCTGTTTATGTTAACTTTTGAAAAAATACCCTTGTAAGTTAACAGAGAAAAAGTAACACAGAGAAAATGCTTCAGGGATCATCAGATTGCCAAGGTTACTGATAAAAACTCATGGAAGTAGAGAGTCATGAAAATGGCACGCATCACCTCTTGGAAACCATTCAGCATGTCAGGAATCCCATTTCTCCCGATGCAAAGAACCAAGAGCAGCTTTCAGTGCTGCAATACTGGCCACCATTTTCAGTTACTGATAATTCCAGGTTCATGTCACTTTTAATTCCAGTAGTCAATTGAAACTGGCCACTGACTTGATAGTTTACATTATGTTCAGCTGTGATATGGCATTGAATTAGTTGAAGATTAAGCAAAATTTGAAAAAAAGAATCAGCTCACAGGCCAAGAAAACACGCTGCAGATCTGTTGTCTCTTCAGACATATGATTAACAAGGGCCTCTTTATAGAGAGAGACAAGGAAAGAACAATTAGGGTTACACTGATATTACTGGTAATGGAGGGACAGTGAATAGTCGTATATCACTGTGATAGGTGATTAATCTAGCTGACTGTAGAGAAGAGGAAAACCAATGTATTTAAAGGAAGAGAAGAAATCTAGGAAACAACTGCTTTAAGATAAAGTTAGAGAAGAATTACAAGCCTGTCTACATCACTCCTCCAGAACGTTTAGATGCCAATTTGCAGACACACCGCCTCAGAGGTGAAAGACTCCCTAAGTCATTGATCGGTCTGACCCTTGCGGTTTTTATTCCCTCTTTTATGATAGCAGCTGCGATGCACAAACCACATGTTGTGTTTGTACCAACATCACATATTCACCTCACACAAATCAAAAGTTAAGAGTTATAAATTTGCAGTAATTTTTGGTACCAGCTCTGTTGGAAGTTACACACGAGAAGCCAAACATCTGCAAAGATTTTTAGTTTTCTAACCCAAAAGAGTCTTTAAAAGGTTCTCAGAAATAACATAATCTATATAATACCAAATGCAAAGTTTCGAAACTGGAATAAATTAATTTTTCTTATGGAAAGCTCTATTTTTAATTCTGGTATTTCTTCTAGAAAATGTTGTAACCAGAAACCTTTCCATGCAGAAAGTATATTGAGTGCAGAACTAATCTGTCCAAACGAGCTAAACTGTCTTTAGAAAATGCAAACAATTGTACTTCCCAACATAGACTTAACAACCCATGTTAAGAAAAGCAAAAAGAGTGTATATTGTACATAATAAGTTTAAAGGATAAAGCTTCTTTACCTCTTGCTGATTCAGAACCAGTTCACCTGGAACAGGCAAATACTGCCCCAGCACAGCTGTTCCAGGGTTGGCCACGTCTGAAAAGAAGACACTTGCCTGAAGGCAGCAGAACTACTCACAGTGTACAAAGTTTCATTTACACATAAATATTTTCTGAATTAAGCATACAGGCAAATTGGTGCCTTCAACTTCTTCTGTTAATAAAAAAAAATTACCCATGGCTGCCCGTCCTCTGTTGGCACTTTCCCCTACAGTTTAGTTTTGAATCCAAACTTACTCTATAATAAACGTTGTCAATGAAGGACCTAGAATTTGTCTCTCCAGAAATGTTTTTCTCATTGCAAAAAAAAACCCCAGGAATAAAAACCTGACCACACAAAAATAACCCTGACAGAAAAAGCCACCACCAATTTGTCAGCTAGGATTTGGAGCATAGGATGTTTTTACCCTGTGACATCAAGTACATTTAAATTCAAATGCCACAGACTTATTTTAATAAAACAAAAAAAAAGAGTCAGAACCAATTAAGTATATGTATCCTGAGTTCTTATTTCACAAATTTCCAGAGTTGTCAGGGAGCATCTGGAACAGAGGTCTTTAGCTTATGAAAAAAATGACTAAAAGCCCATGGAGAAAACCATAGCTATAAGAGAAAGAGCTTGTGTGAGTCCTGGGGAAGTACTGCACGTAAGTACACTATCATCTTAGCCTGTGCAGAAAGAAGCATTCCAGCAAATGAATGAGAATGTGCATTTTATAAAGGAACCTGCCCTTTAACTCAAATGTGCCTGGCTTATTCTTCTGATGAGTACAAGCAAACAGGCTCCACACCTGGAGCATCTGCTGAGAGACACTCACACTCCGCACCTACTGATACTGAGAGCAGCATCTGTGCTCGTATGGTGCCTCATATTAAAAGCCTCTGTTTTCATTGCCACCAAAATGCACCACTGTAATAAAATTATAATAATAAATACTTAAATGAACCACGTTAATAATGTTTGTGAGGAAGCTATATTTAGGTAAAGGAATGTTTATTTAAATCAAAACTAATCTCCACTCAAATCCTTCATTGCTGCCCAGATGAAAATGTTGCTCCACCAAAAGAGCATTAACCATGGGACTGCATTTCAAGTGCACATAATTACGTAATTACTAGTGAGACGCTCTGAATCCCATGCTGAAGTACACCATGTACAGAGCCCTGGACGCTGCTCTTTATTTATAGAGAAACAGAGCCACTCGGTGGCAAGCTGGGGTGGATGCAAATGTATGCAGGTGCTTATGCTGAATTTGCTTTGGATGGACAGTAATCTGCACATCAAAACCTCTCAGTAAATTCAACATAGCCATTATGTCATTCTTATTACACTGAAACCCCTAGCAATTTTTCAGCTACAAAATAAAGCACAATAATAACTGGTGACAGCGACATCAGCTCGGGCTCATCTGCCCCTGCTACTCCTTGAGAATGTGAACACGTGCAGCTGCACATGAACCACCTATGATGCAGTCCAACAGGCCAGGGATGATTTATCATTTTTATCGTACCTGATTGAAGAGAATTATGTTGGTTGTGATACTCGGGAATTAGATGAACTGGTTTGAGTTCTTGTGTGCCACAACTGTTTATACAGAGAATCTGAGCGCCTCCTTCCAGCTGGTAGATAACCTGGAGTGAACAACTAATCATTAGCGCTCATCTAAGAAACTGCAGTTCTGGGTATGTAGAAATAAAGTGTCTCACAAGGGCACCACTTGTCTTACAAAGCTCTGTAACCACAGATTGGAATCTCTCAAATGGATCATTATGCATTAAGATGTCTGCGTTTTGACCCTTAAGCTTAATTTATTTTTGGGAGCAGCTCCTCCACCTGGGTGATACGGATTCCCGGTTCTCTAGATGGCTCCGTGGGGCTTTGCAGAGCCTATTCCAGCTATTTACCAATGTGCCGGCTTCAGATTCAGTCCCCCAACCAGAACCTGCCATTGCAATTGTTCATGTTTTGCTCCATTTATTTAGCTTTGGATGAAGTAATCTTCACATTGTTATTTTTTTTTCAGCTGTTGAACAGAAAATAATGTTATATATAAATATCTATAAAATAGCACTATAACTAAATAAAATTTAGACTGTAAGTCCAAGGAAGGGACTGCCTTATTAATCTTGATACAGTACTAACTAAATGGGACTTCCTGACGCTAGCATGGTACAAATCAGTCAGTTTCCTTTAGCATATACTTTTGCTATCAATTGCAGGATACAATTACCACAGGGTTGGAATCATCTCTGGGTGAACATCTGGATTCCTCCGCTACACTGTGCAGTGCTAATAACTTGCAGCCAGACTCATCAACATTTGAGCTCTGAAAAATTGCTGTGTCTTGGTGATTCTTGATAACATTACTAACTCCCTCTCTTACCTCAGCCTGAAATAAAAAGCTTTAAATCTTAACAGGCATGCTTTAAAATCTACTTTGAATTCCAAGCAAATACAATAAAGTTAAAAAATTATCTGCAAAAATAATATATTGTAAAGCAAGGATTGTATTCAAATGTAATACTGAGAATACTTGATTTACTCATTGAATAGTTGATTTACTTGTCAATGGCAGAATGATTTTTGCTTATTTTTCAAGTAAAAATATTCCTGATGAATAACAATGAACAGCAACATACTTCACAGAAACAATGGCGTTCAGTGCTCCAACATCATGAAGCATCAGCTGATTTATAAACTGCCTTGGAGAGGTTAGGCAATAGTCACAGTAAATTATGCAAAATCAGAATTAATCTTGAATTACATAACTGACTGGGGATCATTGGGGTTTAGTCTAAGTCAGAAGCAGTCAGCTGAGACTGGACTGCAAATTCAGTTACACCTATAGATCACATTTATATCGTTCCAAAATGAATGTTTTTACAGTGATCAACTACTGTGTGTCACGGCATTCCATCACAGATGTGGTGCCACTTGCACTTATTGAAAACCAGTTTATCACCTATCTTACCAATCCATTAACTTTCTACAGTGTCGTCTTTGTAAAGCTACGCTGCCAGATGAAGCCCTGCCTCTCTCAGCACATGCTGTAAAACATCGACTAGACAACCTGGAAAAACCTGGCTACAAAATTCCAGTAATTTTCAGAAATTTCCCTCTCATTAAATACCTGCCTTTCTATAGTTTTATCTCGCACATATCCAAGAAACCATATTTCCAAAATTCAAGCATTTTAAGAGAATAATTAAGTTGCAAAGAACACTCCTCCATAGGCAGGGAACACTAATGTCGAAGCCAGCTTTTCACCCTCAGATCTGTCCTGTCACACACCCCGCTCTTCTGATAAAGGCTCGGGTACTCCTCAGTTGCCCGAGGGTATTTGGTGGAGTCCCGCCAGGCAGCCTGTGTTCAGCTGGCCTTAGAAGTCCCCTCCCTAACTGGACTGAACTGGGACCAGCCTAGGCAAGTGGCAGACAGGACCCAACCAGACTGGAGCCAACAGGAACGGAACCAGGTGAAAAATCCAGGCGGTATTCTCCTCCCTCTGCAAGGCAGCACTGCGGGAAATCTGTGGAGCAACATGTTCCTTTCCCGCTCTTTTGTGAACAGACCACATAGGACAGTGTTTGAAAGAACGTCTTGCCCTCTGGCCTAGAATAAATGCCATTTCAGATATTCAACACTTGGACAGGTTCTTCCAATAATAAAAAAAATCTCACATGCATACTTACTGTGTCGTCATAGACAGGAGCGCTAGTCGGAGGTAAGCCACAGGTATCACTAGAAGAGTCTAGCACATAAAATAAAGCATGTTTTGTTTACAAAAAGATCAGTGTTTTATACCAAGAACTCCTTTACAGCACCAATAAAAGGGGTTGTGATGTCATCACAGCATTGCATTCTTGTAAAAGAAATGTTTAATATTCTTTTTGAACAGACTTGCAGGGAACAACAGATTTCAGTTTGGGTCTCTTTGATGTCTTTAAAAGGTTCATTGTGCCCACTTGGTACAATTCATATCGCTCCAGGATAAGCTACCTTGTCAGACTAAATCCAGCAGCCCGTTTAACCCTGAGCAGGACTGGGAACAGCTTTTGGCCAGAACACACCCAACGCCTGCCCACAGCCTGCTGCCGGCAGCAGCGGCCCTGCGAACATCTGCCTGTCACAGCCAGCAGCCACAGGGAAACAAACCTGTTCCACTCGATCCAGAAAAGTAAGTGTGCTGCAAGGAGGAGTACCTCCTTCAGAGCCTGCCTGAGGGAACAGGGAGGTGGTATGAGAGGGAGGGGAAGTCAAAAGTAAGACTCAACTACGTGGTTGAGGCAACATGGACACACATGAACAAAGGGTGACCCATTCTCCTTTCAAACATCCTCTGTGACATGATCATTTTCGGGAAAGGCTCATACTGCAATTTGCCAAATCCAGAAATTAATTCAGTTATTTAAATCCTTCCCTAAGCTTGTAAGAGGCCAAAAAAAGTAAAATCCCCCTCAGTGACTTGGGGCACTTCCCATCCAAGCAATGGGTCCAGTTTTACAACTGCATAGTGCCTGTTTGGGTTCCTTTGAACAGATCATAACAAACACATCTGTTCTCACCTGTAACTGGTGGGATGAGTGGTCTGAACACCTAAGGAAAAGAAGGGTTTATTTATATAACTATTTTATGCATTAAATGATTAATTTTAAATGAATAAACAAAAGACTGACTTAAAGTGACCTTGAGAACTCATGTTTCCATGATATAATTAAGCACACAAATGCCGCAGCCTGTTCAGCATTACCAGATACAATTACACACCTTCAATATTATTTCTGCTTTTTCTGCTCAGCATATAGTTATGGTTCTGATCTAACGCATTTACAACTATCACAGCATCATACTTTACACCTAGCTTTGTATTCTCAAAACCAACCAAATGAACAGAAAGTGGAAGACAGACAGAAACCAACCATTTTGTAGTTTCAAATTAGAACCGAGATGACTCAAACCTGACCATTTGCTCTCTGCCTGTGTGTGCTGTGCTTTCTCTTCAGACAGACAGCAGTTTAGGAGAGTAAGCAATCAGCACAGAAACACACAATCAGCTTTATTTATTTCAACAATATTATTTATAATTGGATTAGAACTTTGTTCTAATACCTTCAGGAAACAGGGCAGATGAAGGAAACATGCAGGCTCAGTGCAGCCAACTGTATGGACACTAGGAACAGAGCCCGTCAGAAAGATTTTTTCTAAATCTCATTTTTAGCTCCTTGTCCAGAGACTAAAATTTTCATTATATTCAACTTGCCTTTGAAGAAAGCAACTGTTACATCTTAATCACATCTTTATTTTCCAGAGGCTTCCGCCAGTCTTTTGAATTTTATTAATGGTTCAAATATTGAAGGTCTCAATTACAAAAGAACTACTGATAATATCGAGCATGTGTGCAAACAACCTTCCCAGGCAGAGATATTTCTGAACCGTAACCACAACCTGAAGTCAGAAAGAGAACCAAAGCACGTCAGGTATCGGTCACGGTGGGCCTCACGCACCCCGGGGTGAAATCCCCCAGGGACGCACTGGGCTTGGCTGGGCTGCGCAGTGCCAGCAACGGTTCCCATGGCAGGAGGTGTGCTGCACAGCCAGCCTGCAGCTCCCACCCAGCTTCAGTCCGGCACCTCGGTGCCGCGCTGCAAGGGATACCCGTCCTTCATTTCAACCAAGGGATTTCTGGGAGTTTTGGGGTTTTTTTTAATGCTTTTGATTTTTGAATCCGAGAACAGTGCTGTTCGTCAATATATTTACATGGGAAAAACTGTCAGCTGGTATGCTTATTATCTCAAAGAGCTTCTCAAAGGAAATTCAGTGCCCCTCTAGAAGCGGCCGCAGCACAAACTTAAAATGCGGAGGTTTCTTCAGCTGATGTTCTACAGCTGGGTACAAGGACACATAAACACTCTGCGCAGGCGCAGCCTGCAGTGAGGGATGGATTTGGGCCTGTCAGCACCTCAGGCGGTTCCACGCTGCGCACCTTTCCAGGCAGCGACTGATCAATTCAGAAAACCCAACTTCAAACCACACAGAAAACTGCCAAACCCAGTAAGCAGTGGGAACCCCCCGCTCTCTTACAGAAGTGCTTTCCTCAAGGAGATTTAACAATACAGGCTATGCTGTACTGCTGCAACAAATTACATTTTATCTCATTTGGACTATGAATTTTAAGATGACAAGTGTGTCACCTGTGGAACTAAAGAACAAAAGTTAATACCCCATCTGTACTTTGTACAACTATCTAATAGTTGCTAATACAGATGGTAATACATAATCCCGAAGGGGTATATTTGTGACATGGTGAGATATTTTTAATGAGCAAAATAACTACCCAGCCATTTAAAAATACGGCTCATAACATGGACGAAAAAGAAGAGCAGTCAGAACCACGTGTTCGCACTGCATGCTATTTCTGGCAATATAAAACAGAAACCTATTTCTGTATTTACTACTAAGATCATAAATTTTATACTAGGGCAAACTAACTTTAAACATTATGTGGATCCCATAGAAGTTTTAATGTGACAATTCCTCACATTTAAGTCACAAATAAGCATGGATAGATAAAAATTCCTATTTCACTTAATCTTACTGGTACCATTCTGACATTTTGATTGACTGTTCCTTCTGGAGAGAACATGCTTGAAACTGGAACACGGCGATTTTTGTGCTGCATTGCTACAGAAGAAAGAAAGTGGACACCATTTGAAGGCAGATCAGGTAAATGCGTATGTTCAGCTTCTTGTGGAATATTCAGTTCCTTGTATTTTTCAAGATCCTCATCACCACAGCTGTTGTTTCCACGCAGATGTACTTCAACCTGTACTATTGTTTTTTGATTTTCAAAGGTAAGTGGATAATTGAAGTGATCTAAAAAAGTCTCTCCCACATTTACAGTGTGTAAATGATTGTCTTGACTAGATAGCAATCCTTCTTCAATGGGATTATGGATTGCTGCAGTATCCAGATTAAAGTTTTCAGAACTAACAGGACTATTTTGATTAAATATTTCTGTTACAAGTCCACTGTCTATTAATGATCTTGTATCAAGCAATATCTGATTCTCCATAGTCATGGCCAGACAGTCAAGTGGTTCGTATTTATTTTTTTCATTGAAGACGATTAGATTTTCTATTTCAGTATTCTTCTGAATAGTTTTTCTCTCTAGAAGTGAATGAAATCATCTTAACCAAACAACATACATACATAATACTGAAGATTAACCCCATTAACGTGTAACTGTGAGACTTCATAACACTGGGAGAGGTTGCTGGGGTTCTGAATCTGGCTTTCAGAAAATACAGGCCACCGTGCCAACACAAAAGCTGCTTTTACCGTAAGAACCCATTCTTTGTAACTTTTAAATACATCAACAGCATTCAGACTTAGAATTTCACTGCTTGGCTTTAGTAGCCAAAAACCAACCCAGTTTGTCACAGCATGCCCAGACAGCTCAAGCGACACCCTTGTGAGTCCGTGTCAGACCAAACGCCCCCGCGCTCCCCGTGTCGCCCTCACCACGGAGGGCCAACGCCAGCCCAGGCGCCTCTGCCCAGCGCCCCGCCAGGCC